ATGAAAATCTGGACATGGGCTGTGTTTACTCAATACATTTAAAGCACTGTGATACACTTTAAGCAGCCATGGCTTCCCCCACAGAATTCTGGGAGCTGTGGTTTGTTGTTAGGAAGCCCCTATTCTCCTCACAGAGCTACGATTTCCAGAGATGTTTAAGAATCTATCCCTCTTCACTCTGGGGATTGTAACTCAGCTGGTGGGGGGGGAGGAATAGGGGGCTGATGCTAAGGAAGCCTTGCTGATGTGAACAGCAGTTGGTGGAGGGAGGCAGCTGAGATATCTGGATTTTTCTGGGGGGGGGATAACTTCCATTTCCCAATGTTAATTGTACTCAAGAGTAGCCCAGTTAAAATCAATGGACCAAAATTAGTATTGGCCATTAGTTTCAATGGGTCTACATTGAGTAGAATTAACATTGGATCCAAACCTCAGTGTCCAGGACTTGGTGTGAGATGCGAGTGGCACTGACCGTAGTGCTATCACCTCAATTGAAAATTTCTGAGAAAATCCAGCATTATCCCATTGGATTTGAAAAGAGGAATTGATTTTTAAAATAATTAAGAGAAGTTAAGAGGGATAAATTTATCCAGGCCCGCCCCCACCCCCAATTTGGAGGTTATTTAAAGCCACAATAACAGAAGCTCATCTAGAAAGTAGGAAAGGAAGCGATCAAGTCCAATAAGATATTGGCACGTGGTTTACAAGCAACAAAGCTTCTCCTAAACAGTGAAAGGTCTTGCCCAAGTGAGGAAACGAAAAGGAGCACAAATTCTGGCAAAGCAAACATAAGTTAACAAAAAGGGAAATTGAGGAGCATGCTGAAAGTGTGAGCACCAAAAATAAAAATAAAAAATACACAAGATGTAGAAAACAAGATGCAGCTGGGCCACTAAATAAGAGTTGTTCCCCACACAGGGGTGTGTGGCACCTTCAATGTGCATTTTTGGGCGAATGCTGAAGATGCACCTGTTTACCCTGGCCGTTGACTCCCGAGATGTGTATTTTTAGGCCCTGGCGTATTTTTGTAAGTTGTTTTAAACTAATTTTTTCATTTCAAATTGCTGAAACGCCTCTGCCTTTCTCCCCGCTGCAGGAGTGCTACACGCCATTTGTGAACGGGAGCTTCTTTGAGCACGCCGGCCGCCCATTCTGCGAGATCCACTACCACAAGCAGCGCGGCTCGCTCTGTTCGGGCTGCGAGAAGCCCATCACTGGCCGCTGCATCACGGCCATGGCGCGCAAGTTCCACCCTGAGCATTTTGTCTGTGCCTTCTGCCTCAAGCAGCTCAACAAGGGCACCTTCAAGGAGCAGAACGACAAGCCCTACTGCCACCCTTGCTTCATCAAGCTCTTTGGGTGACCAGGAGAGCGCCATGGCCGTGCCATGCCCGCTACCAGCATGGGAAGGGGGAAGGCCCACCAATCCCAGCCTTTGACCGAGCCACACCCACTGCCACGCATGGGAGAGGCCTGTGCCTTATGGGTTCCACCCCGGCGGAGCCACCACACGATTGCCAAAGCCACGCCTCTAGCCAAAGGCGAGAAGCTGGACTTGTCCGCTTCTCCCACTCTACTCAGGAGCCAATCCCACCGCAGCCCCGAGTAGCCAATCCTTGGCCCTCACCCCCATCACATGCTACTTTAAGCCACACCCACACAGAGCCAGCGCTTCAGACAGGAGGCAGTGCCTTAAGCCGCAACTCACACAAGACTAGCTGGCGATGTCATCCAGGTAGAAGGCGGGGCCACAAAGAAGCCACACCCCCTCCGCTCCCTGTGAAGTCTGTTCCCGCAATGCTGTTCCCGCACCTGAAACCCATCTCTCTATTCTCAAGCCATAAAAGCTGTTCAGGTGGGAGGTGGGGGAAAAAACCCTTTACTTCCAGGTCCTTTGGTATCTTTCACCGCTTTTGCCTTCGGGTGCAAGGTGAGGGGCTATTTCACTTCAGGGCTGCCCTAAAGCACTTATGATTGTGATCAAGTATGATCTAAAATGGTTCAACTACAAGAGGGGAGAGGCAGCAGTAACTCTGTGGCCCATCCTTCAGTGGCAGAGATTTTGGGGCGAGTTTACGTGTAAACAGCTTTGACACCACCCCAAGGGTTATATCTGTGAGCTGTCAGTGGGATTTGGGAAGATGCCTCTCCCTTAGGGACCCATAGAGTCCTAAGGAGGTTAGTGGTATGGCAAGAGTGAAGCCTCCCTAATGTAGCAGCTTTGGGTAGATGACTGGCTGGTGTTGAGGAAAGGAAGTGGCATCCCACCCCACCTCCCTTTGCATGTTGCAGTTTTTAAAAAGCCCTGGATTGCAAATAATTAAAACACTTTTGGTTTGGGTTTCAAAGAATCAAGGAGGAAGGGAATGGGTGGGTGGGGGAATGTGCCTGAGCTTGCAGTTTTACTTTATCAGGGTCATTTTTTAAAAAAAATCTTATGGTGTAAACCCAAATTGAGGCTTTTATTATGATAGAACTTGGGTCAGGAGTCCAAGGAGCATGTGGTTTTCCTTCTGCCGCCAACTTTTTACCCTCACACTGCTGTATATTATATAATAAAATTCACGTATATTAAAAAAAAGAAAAAGGATCCAGACAGTTGTCATGTGTGGTGGTTCAGCTAAAAAGTGGACTTACAAGGAAGTGTGGTAGATATTGGAAAACTTTGCACTCCAGAATAAACTCTTGTCCTTCTCCCCAATAGCATGGAAATATTATCAGGATGCTTTTCTTTAGGAGAGGGATTATCAGTCCGTTTAGGTCCCTGGGCATCATCCCCTCTGGCCACTTCTCCATCCCCACCCCTGACAACACACATTTTGCTTTTCCGAGGGAACTGGGTAACGGCCGAATCCAGGAGAAATAACCTAAGCCTTGAGAAGCACAGTGCTGACAGAGGAAGTAGGCAAAGAGTGGCATTCCTTCGACTTCCTCCTTCAGCTCTATGCACTTTTCAAGTGATTCCTAACCGCCTTTAGCACAAAAAGAGCAACAGGGCGAAGACCTGAAGGGCACCATATTTTGGAGGGAAGATCTTCAGAGCTTCTACGCTGGTTGGTCCTCTTCCCACGCAAAGAGCACAGCTTCCTCTCTTTGTGGTTTGAAGCCAAGGTGCAAAATCAGTCCTGAGGGAAGTTTTTGTCCCCATCACTTCTCCTTCCAAAGTTTCATATACCGTATTTTTCGCCCCATAGGACGCACCGCCCTATAGGACGCACCTATTTTTTTTGGGGGGGGGGGAAATAAAGAAAAAAAAATTATTTCCCCCCAGGCACGGGGCAGGCGCGGGGGAAGCCCGAGCTTCCCCCGACCCCACAACAGCCTGCTATCCACAAGCCAAGGGAGTCGCGCCGGTCTCCCCAGGCTTGCAGAGAGGTGCGCGAAGCCAAGGCGCGCTCTTCAGCGCGCACCAGGCTTCGGAATGCAGGCAGCTCTGCGCTACCCTCCGGAGCCCCGCGCGGCTTCGCACTGGGATCCAGAGGGTGGCACAGAGCTGCAGGAAGCCCTGGAGCGCAGGCAGCTCTGCGCTACCCTCCGGAGCCCCGCGCAGCTTCGCACCGGGATCCGAAGGGTGGCGCAGAGCTGCAGGAAGCCCGGGAAAGCCTGCATTCGCCCCATAGGATGCACACACATTTCCCCTTCATTTTTGGAGGGGAAAAGTGCGTCCTATAGGGCAAAAAATACGGTAACTCATCATCACCCACATGCCTCGCTCATAATTCAAATGAGCTGAATCCAAGCTAGTTGCACTTATCTTCTACTGAAATCAATGGGACAAGGTAGCCACGATTACTTTGCTCCCACTGATTTCAAGAGGAATGAAGTGTGATGATCTTGGTCTGGACCTTACGCCACTGTCCAAAGCCTGCCCTTCGCTAAATGGTCTCATATACAAAAATAAAACACTTGTTTTCTTGATGGGCAAATCGAGGTACTCCCTCAAGCTCCTCCCCTCCATCAGCATGAGGAGGATCCCACAGATGGCAATATTACTACATCTCTTTGCCTTCTATGTTGGGGGAAAGAGAGCATCCTCTGGGAAATTTTATTAGGCCCAGGGGGCTCTGGTTGCTGATCCCCTCTCTAGGCCCTAGTGTGCTATACAACAAAACTTAGGGAAAGTTATTCAGTGCCCCATTAGTTTCATTATCCCCACTTCTAATACCCAGATACTGGTGTTAGAAATCAGGCATTTGAGCCAATTAAATGCATCTTGATCTTCTTTCCAATTAATTGTGGGGGCATCTCCTTTATCAATGCTTTTAATCAAATAATTGACTAAATATTGCAATCCTCCTTGGAAGGATTTTAAGGCCTAAAGAGAAGACCATCATTGGCCATCTTTCTTTTCAGAGCTGACAGAACATTACGGAATAATGTCCAGTCTGATTTGGCCCCTTTGGCCCACCACTCTTTCAAAATATTAGTCTCCCAAAGGGAAAACCAAATATCCCTACAAGATGTAGCATTGTGGATTTTCTTGAACGTTAGAGCAGCTCCTGGAAGGAGCTTCCATTAAATCAAGCATTCAGCTCTTGCATAACTTCAAATTTCATCACTCGGAGGAAACAAACATTTGAAGATTGAACAGACCAAAACAGAATTGACAAATGCAAGGGCAAACACAAAAATATAGTGTTTTGGAAAATGTTTGGATTACTTTTGCACATGTGCATTTCACACGAAAGCTAAACCATAGTTTAGTGCAGGGCAACGGTCCCTTTTAGCCTGAGGGCTGGATTAAGGCTGAGCCAACCCTCTGAGAGCCACAGAGACAGCCCCGCTTGTTGAAAATAGGTCAGCTTCTTGTGGTTTGAAGTCAGCTTCTTTCAACAAGCCATAGTTAATCTTAACTATATTTTGTGTGACAACAGAGCAAGCTTTGGGTGATTTAAACAGGGCCAAAAGTTCCCGTGCTGCTCTTTATACCCGAGGAAGCAGTGCTATTGGCTTTGGGGTCCTTTCAAAGACATTTTTTTTAAAAATGTAAAAAGACAATTAAAAAAGTTTTATGGACACACACTGAATTGGCACATTGGGTCTCTTCCGTGAAATCCATGGATGGTGGGATATTCCTTTCACAAGGAGAAGAAAAATATTTTGTAGCACCAAGTGGAATGCAGGAAAAAATAGCAGCTGTGGTAATTGTTAACCCTTAATAACAGTGCTATGCTAGAGAAATTTCTGTTCTTATACTCTCAAAATTCTACACAGAGAAAAAACAGAGGACAGGTTTTCTACTCCTTTAAAAAAAAAAATCTCAAGTGTGCATCTTTCAACGTTCCATACTTTGTGAGTCTGTCCACTGTTTTGCTGGTGCACATAGGAGCATCATCTGAAAGTAAAGAGTGAGGGGAGGATAATAGCCTGTTTGTGAAAGGAGCCCCCACCTATGTGCCCATCTGTGGAAACCAATGAGGGGAACACCTCTGCTTTCCCCTGCTTCTGGCAGGCATCAATGCCTGTGTGACATTACCAGTCACCACTCCGATGTCCACCTTCATCTCATACCTGTTTGCATGCCCAGCAACCAACGCACCTCACACTAAGCGACGGGGCGAAAGTTGCCATGCTCACTGGCACTGGAAGGCAAAGGGTCAAGAATGAATACAGAGGTGAGCAAACAGCCAGTAGAGCTATCCCAGCCAGTAGAGCTATCTCAAAAATAAAGGCAAGAATGGCGCATCCAGATGTTGATAGACTACAAATCCCATCATCCCTCACCACTGGCCACAGCTACCAGGGATGATGGGAAGAAGAGTCCAACGGCATCTGGACCTCCAAGGCAAGGTTCTCAATGGCCAGCTGAGGGCTACAGGATAGCCAGAGCGGACGCCTCTCCCCCGTGCAGCGCCTGATGCTCCACCAGCTGCGCCTTCGAGCCGAAGCTCACCCCGCACTCGGCGCACGTGTTTGGCTTCTCTCCCGTGTGGGTCCTTTTGTGCTTCGTCAGGGTGGAGCTGTCGCAGAACCCCTTGTTGCAATAGGGGCATTTGTAGGGCCGCTCCCCCGTGTGGAGTCTCCGGTGAATGACCAGCTGCGACCACTGGCGGAAGGCGCGGCCGCAGTCGGGGCAGCCAAAAGGCTTCTCCCCGGTGTGAGTCCGGCGGTGGTTCAGGTAGACGGAGCTCAGCACAAAGGCCTTGCCGCACACGTCGCACTTGTAGGGCTTCTCCCCGGTGTGGCTCCGCCGGTGGATGATGAGGGAGGACGTGTCGGCAAAGCCCTTCCCGCACTCCTCGCATTTGTAAGGCCGCTCCCCGGTGTGGCTCCTCTGGTGCGTCACCAGGTGGGAGCTGAGGCTGAAGCTCTTGCCGCACTCCACACACCGGTGGGGCCTCTCCCCGGTGTGGATCTGCTGGTGCTTCCTCAGCGTTGAGTTCTCGATGAAGCTCTTTCCGCAGTCTGGGCACTTGTGGGGCCGCTCGCCCGTGTGGATGCGCTGGTGCTGGATGAGGTGCGAGCTCTGGCCGAAGCTCTTCTGGCACATGGGGCACTGGAAGGGCTTGTCCCGCGCGTGGTACCTCTGGTGGCGGATCAGGTTGGAGGCCTCGCTGAAGTGGACCCCACACTGGGCGCACCGGTACGGCTTCTCGCCCGTGTGAATCCTTTGGTGCTTCGTCAGGTTGGAGTAGAGGCTGAAGGTCTTGCCGCAGTCGGAGCAGCTGTGGGCCACGCCGCTTGTGTCGATGGCCGTGGCCTCCCCGTTGCTGTCGATGAGGTAGGCCACCTCCGTCAGGTGAGTCCTTTGGTGCACCCGGAGCCGGGCGCTCTCGTTGAAACTCTTCCCGCACCGGGGGCACTTGTAGGGCTTGTCTCCCGTATGGATCCTCCGGTGCCTGAGGAGAATGGAGCTGCGGTTGAAGGTCTTCCCGCACTCGGGACATTTGAAAGGCTTCTCTCCCGTGTGGATCCTCTCGTGCTCGGCCAGGTTGTTGCTCCGAGTGAACCTTTTCCCGCACTGCGAGCATTTGTAGGGCTTCTCGCCCGTGTGGATCTTCTCGTGCTGGACCAGGTTGGATGTCTTGTTGAACCTCTTTCGGCAAACGGAGCACTTGTAAGGGGCCGGCTCGCCTGCAAGTCCCCCCATCCCAGGCCCACCGCTTGCTATGTGTCCTCTAGGAGCCTCAGGTAGATCTCTTGAACTCTGGGTAATCAGATCCTCTTCCTGCTCCATTCTAGGAGCCTGGAGGACATGAGATCCTGGACTGAGACTGACAAAAAACAACACAGAAATGGGGTTATGGATCGCACAAGCTCTGTCAAGAATCATTTAGGAGTCTTTTCTATTTCCTTGCCATTATGTTGAAAACCTGCTTAATATTTTTAAAATCTCTATGTAGTGTACAACTTAAAAGCAGCAGAACAATATCTTTAAAACAAAATACAACATAAAACCAGCAAAATGGAATGTAAAAGCAAATTGAAGCATATAAAAACGGGAATTCAAACAGATAAAAACAGGCCCCAATCTTATTGGTCAGGGAAGGTCTTGGTAAAAATATGCGCCTTTAGAAGATATTTGAAGCAATGTATGGCAGAGGGAAGGGACTTTCATAGAAGAGGGGCAACAATAGAAAATGCCTGGTTTGGGGTCACTGCCCTATGAAATTCTGTAGTGTGGTACCATGAATAGAATTTCCTCAGATGATCTAATTCTAAATGATCTTACAGGAGCAAACAGTCCCTTTTAAAAGGTCAGGTTAACCTCCATAAATTGGGTTATCTCCTCCTCTTTATCTTCAAAACATGCTATTTAACTGTGTGAGGTCATTGGGGGATTTGCAGGTAACTCTGGGTTCTAGTTATATTTTTCATCAAAACCCAGGTGAGGTGTGTTGTTAAATCAGTGGCTTGACGTGGAAATGGATTGGATGAGGGCCAATAAACAAGGCTCAATCCAGACAAAATGTTGTTGGTACTGTTAATAGGTGGTTCCTCTGTGTTCAACCTGTTCTGCAGGAGGTTGCACTCTCCCTCAAGGGCCAGTTTTGTAGTTCAGTGGAGCAATCTTAGTCATTAACTCAGAGTGCCTCTTCCCAGGCTAGGTTTGTACCCCAGCTATAGGTAAAGGACCCCTCGACGGTTAAGTCCAGTCAGAGGCAACTATGGGATGTGGCACTCATCTCACTTTCAGGCTGAGAGAGCTGGTGTTTGTCCACAGACAGCATTCAGGGTCATCTGGCCAGCATGACTAAACCACTTCTGGTGCAACGGGACACCGTGACAGAAGCCATGAGTGCATGGAAACGCCATTTAGCTTCCCGCCACAGCGGTACCTATTTATCTACTTGCACTGGTATGCTTTCGAACTGCTAGCTTAGCAGGAGCTGGGACAGCTATAACTCTACCAGGGCAGAGAAAGCCTTGCTCTGGTGATCCATGCCCATGTAATCTCGCATCTGGGTTATTACAACATGTTGTGAGGTGGAGGGGACTGCCTTTGAAAACTATCCAGAAACTCCGGCTGGTAAGGAACATGGCAGCAAGATTGCTCGCTGGGGCTGAGTGTTAAAAACCTCTTACACCATACACGTTATTTTGGCATATGCATTGGCTCACAGTCTGTTTCTGGAACATATTCAAAATGCTGTTTTAAGGCCCTTCATAGCATGGAACGGGGGTACCTGAAGGGTTGCCTCTCCTAACGTACCTACCTGGACCCTGAGATCAAAGCTGGAGGATCTTCTTTAGGTGTCCCCAGCCGGGGAGAGATGTCAAATGAATCGAAGGGTATTTTCAGTGGTGGCACACCCTCCACAGAGAGGCTTCCTTGGCACCAACCTTAATTTCCTAGGGCTTTTAAATCTTGCTGTTTTCATTTTTGACACTCCCCTTTTGTTTCTGAGCTTAATGTGGAATTTAAATTCTGCTTCACATTGTATTCTATTAATTTTCCTATTGTTGTCTTTTAACTTTTTGGGTTAATTCAGCTGTCCTGAGAACTTTTTGATATAGAAGAGCCTACAAATGCTGAAAAACAAACAGGTAAGGTGGGTTTGGCCAAACCCAATGAGTTTAGGGGCCTAAAAGAGAGTTATTACCCATCTATGACAAATGCTTTGACCAGTAAACACCCCTGGTTTGCAATTTGGGAAGCTAATATTGTACTTCTTTCCACAATTTCTTTAATGGTATTTATACTTAGTAACTCATTTTCATTAGAAGATACCTTTATTTTAGATATGTTAGCAGCTACCATGAATTTCAAAGCACACACATATATATAGAAAGCTAACCTACTGTATTTTGTTCAGAGGGATAAAATTCTGAATTCTTGGAATTTTGATTTATTATTATTATTAATAGTTTTTTATTGGATGAAGCGACCCCCACCCCCAATGCAAAGACTGACCAGAGAAATTATGAGAAGTGGTAAAATGCATTAAAATGCCTTACTCGAGAAGTCAGAAACCAACAAGAGATCAAGTTCTTAAAATGATGGGTCCTTTTTATAAGTCATTGGAATGAAAGGGTTAGTGATAACACACACACACAACCCATTTTCAAATACCTTTCCTCTGCACTACATATACAATCTCTCTCTCTCTCTCTCTCTCTCTCTCTCTCTCTCTCACACACACACACACACACACACACTTTTCTCCACCCTTTTCTCTTTCTTTCTTTCTTTCTTTCTTTCTTTCTTTCTTTCTTTCTTTCTTTCTTTCTTTCTTCCTTCCTTCCTTCCTTCCTTCCTTCCTTCCTTCCTTCCTTCCTTCCTTCCTTCTCCCCACCCCTTCTCTTTTCCCCTCTCTATTTTTCTTTTCCTTGGCATAGGCGCCGACTCCATGGGGCTTGAGGGGGCTGGAGCCCCTCAAAAAAAATTTTTGGGGGGCTCAGCCCCCCAATAATCTCGGGCGGGCGCCCTTCCAGCAGAGCGCCGCCGCCGTCCCCCGCCTCCTCCCCACCTGCTCCTTCGCCAGCCAGCCAGCCGCGCGCCCTAATCGGAGAGCCCCGGCCGGAAATCCCGCGAGAACAGGGGAATCCCGACTGGCCACACCTCCCAGCCAGCCAATCGGCTGGCTGGGGGGGCGTGGCTTGCCCTATTTAGGGCCGGAGCCACTTTATTTGCATATTCATGAGCTTATTTATTATTCATGAGCTTTCCCGGGCCCCCCCAATATTTTTTCTAAGTCCGCGTCCCTGTTCCTTGGTATCCTCTATCTTATATAATGTACCTTGGTTATTACTGTTCTTACTATTGGTCCCCCCACAAAATCCTTTCTACTGGTTTCCTGTGTGTGTCTTTTGTATTTAAATTAGCAGCATTTCTAATGGATGAGGTAGGGTGAAATATGCTGGATGAGGTAGGATGGATGAGGTAGGATGAAATATGCTGGTTTCTTCCCATTTGCTTTCAACCTTTTATTTTTCAGGCCCCCCTCCCCACAACAACAACAAAAAGCAATGATGGGAGAGCACTAAAATGCCTGAACTACACAACAATACAAAAACGTCAATCTGAGTTAATTTTATAAAAGTTAAATGTAAAAATGAGAAAAGAAACACAATATAAACATGGTAAAAAATGGCTCTAGTGTAATTTCAACTCCTAACTGAGCTTTTATTGTAAAATGCTATTTGTATGTGTGTACATGTGTGTGTCTGTGTATGCTCCACTCAATTTATTATAAAAAGGTTGATTCCCTCATGCATGTTTTTTTATTATTTATTTGCATAGTGCCATTAGTGTGCATAGAACTTTACACAGTACAAGAAAACAGGTCCCTGCCCTGAGAAGGTTACAGTCTATAATTCAACACAGGGAAAGAACAAAGAGAGGGAAGGAATAAGCATTATGTAAGGGCATGCAAAACAGAGGACTGGGCCAAAGGAATCACTGATAAAGTAGATTCTGAAGATGGATCCAAATGTTGACTTCTCCGTATTTAATAAGGCCCTTATCTGCAAAATGGGAACAGCAAGGTCATATAATTCACACAACCACCATGATGGCCAGCCCACTACAGAAGTTAAAGCACATTATTAAAAAGGCTACCTTTACACTGCTTCCTATTTCTCATTCTCAGTCCCAGTCCCACCCTGTCCCAAGCTACAATATGAGGGGAATAATATTGACCTATATTACATGGTGGTTGGAAGGGTTACTGAGATCATTGTACACGAAGGACTTTGAGCACTCAAGAACACTATATTATACCCTTAGTAGTTTTAAACACCTGTAGGAAGGAATCAGAATGTACAACAAAACTAGAGAGATATTGCAGCTGCTTATCCAGTACTGGAATAAAATGTGGCTGGAGGACAATAGGAGGCAGGCAGGCAGCAAGCAGCTGGCACTATTGTAAGAGAATATATAAATTTAATGAATAAAATAAATAAAATAAATAATACTAATAAAGTTGTAAGTAAATAAAATTAAGATCAAAGGTTCAACCCCTTGTAGTACCTTAATGCTGCAATATTAATCCCACTTTTCTGGGAGTAACTCACCTTGAATTCAGGACTCAATTCTGACCAGACCTGCTTAGGATTGTGCTGTAAATAATGAGGGTTTCTTTATAAACGTTTACCGGACTTTGCCATTGCAACTATTGGGGGAGAATTACTATGTTGGATCCTGCAGTGAGATGTGCATTTTCTTTTTTTGGTCCTCCCTTTTGTTTACCTTTCTTTTTCGGCATGCAATGTATAATTAAATATCCGCAAGTAAAGCTACAATTCATTCCTAAGCATTATACTATAGAACACCCATTATATCTTCTCTCCCACCCACTGCATTCCACTGCCGTTTCCCTGCGCCGTTCATCTCCTTTCTGCCCGCCTCTCTCTCAGTTGGTTGGAACGCGTTGATGAGAACGCCAAGGTTGCAGGTTCGATCCCCGTATGCGCCAGCTGCATATTTCTGCATCGCAGAGGGGGCTGGACTAGATGATCGTCGGGCCCCCAACGCTATGATCACATATATATAGCACACATCAGTCCTCTTTCTCTTTCTCCCTTCGCCCACGCCCGGCCAACTTACCGAACTCAGGGTATTTGTGCCCCTGACATCACCATCCCCGCCTCCCCCTCCGGATGGCTCCTAGCACAAGCCGCCTCCCCAGGTGGCTTAAAGCACCCACCATCCAGCAAAGCCCAGCTGGAGGGAGGAGCAGCCACGGAGGAAGGTGCACCCTTTATTAGAGCTCCCCTTCTCTTTTCCTGCAGCGATCTCCAACATCTTCAGGAACCACCAGCCTGGCTGGCAGAAAGCTGGGAATGCCGCGGTCGCTCTGTGGTTTTAACTCTTTGCTCTCCCGCTTTGCCGCTGCTGATGGTGGTTTTTTCTTAAGCATGATGTTTTGCAGCAAGTTAGCAGAATGCCCTCTTGTCGCTGGATCAAGCCAGAGCCCCATCTAATCCAGCAGCCCTGTTCTCATGGGATGCCTTTGGGAAAGCCAGCGAACTGGCAAGAGCGCTCCGCCTTCCCCGCCGTTGTGATTTCTAGTAGCTGGTATAAAAGGTGTCAACAGGGCTCTTTGGAAATATTAATTGATTCCTTATTTCCTTTGACGATTTATATGCCGCTTAATTACAATCTGATGCAATGCAACAAAGAGTTAAAATCATAAAACCAGACTTCAGTTAAAATGCATGCTGGAATAAAAAAAGAATTCAGTAGGTGGGGCTGACTCATCACATCTGGAAGAGAATTCCATAAAACTGGGCCCATAATATCGAATGCTTGCACCTGGTGGGTACAAGCTGTGCGTCTGAGCCACGGGGAACAACTCCCAGTGACTCCCCTGGAATGAGGGATCAAGTGGTCCCTGAGGGATCCTTCGCCAAAGTTGTCAAGAACCTTGTAAATCAATGCAAGGACCTAACACAATTAACTCACCAATCTCTGGTGATACTCTGGCTATTTTTCTTCTACCTTACAAGGTATAAAAAAGTAAAGGTAAAGGTACCCCTGCCCGTACGGGCCAGTCTTGACAGACTCGGGTTGTGCGCCCATCTCACTTAAGAGGCCAGGGGCCAGCGCTGTCCGGAGACACTTTACAAGGTATAAAAAGGTAAAGGTACCCCTGCCCATACGGGCCAGTCTTGACAGACTCTAGGGTTGTGCGCCCATCTCACTCTATAGGCCGGGGGCCAGCGCTGTCCGCAGACACTTCCGGGTCACGTGGCCAGCGTGACAAGCTGCATCTGGCGAGCCAGCGCAGCACACGGAACGCCGTTTACCTTCCCGCTAGTAAGCGGTCCCTATTTATCTACTTGCACCCGGGGGTGCTTTCGAACTGCTAGGTTGGCAGGCGCTGGGACCGAGCAACGGGAGCGCACCCCGCCGCGGGGATTCGAACCGCCGACCTTTCAATCGGCAAGCCCTAGGCGCTGAGGCTTTAACCCACAGCGCCACCCGCATCCCTTTTACAAGGTATAGTCACTTCCAATTAGGTGAGGGATGGAAGAGGGTTGCTCCAATTTTTCCCTTAAGGCAACAGGGCAACTTCTTTGGACATGTAAATTATGCTACTTAGCTGGCCAGCTAAAGCAATTATCTTACAAAGAAACTGGACACAGAACCACAAGCCTTTAAGGGTTTCATGGATAAATCAGACTTGACCCACAACAAACCTATACAAATATATTGCTATTTAGGTCAGGAATAGCCAGTGTGATGTTCTGAAGTTTTTTTTTGGATGACAACTCCTATTATCCTTGGCCTTTAGCCAAAGTAGCATGGACTGATGGGAGTTGTAGTCCAATAACATGGAGTGCAGCTCTACATATAAAGCTTCCTCAGGTCTGACCCCAATACATTTCCCTTATCTATCTATCTATCTATCTATCTATCTATCTATCTATCTATCTATCTATATCTAAAAAGGAAACAAGCAGGATGCCATATTTGTGATGACGGTGTCATTTTAATTTTGAATTTCTTTCTTCCCGTCTGCTTCCAAGAGAAACACAAGGTCAGCTTGCAAATGCAGTGAGTTCACGTCACTGCACAAAAGTGGTATTGCAATGCTGGACTCAGCCATAAATAATCCCATATAGTCATTTCTGTCCTGCTATTATTTCTCTGCATCACCTCACCACTGGTCGCCAAAGTACAGGAAAGAGGAAGTTGAATTTTTCATATATCTGTATTTTAAATAGCAAGGAAGTTTACCACAAGCGGATGAACGACAGACGTCTCCCCCAGGGCTATATTTGGTCAGACTAATCAGCTTGTGTCTATTTCTTTTGCTGGGTGAGGAAAATAAAGTTTCTAGCTCTCACTGATGTGTCACTTCTGCCAATTTTAGATGATGTGTTCTTGGCATATATCCCTTAAAAATTCAAGTCCTGGAGGAATATGACAAATGCTTCAGTTATCCCTGTTTATTAGGGACAGTTCCTATCTCCTCCCTGTCTCGGGCAAATCACTGTCCCTGATTTGTGTGTTTATGCTTTTTGACAATGTCTTGTTAAAATTTTGTGAGCTTGAATTGCTAAAGTTATTATTTTTCAGGAGCCAGCTCCCTTTCTAGAGTCCTCTTATAAGTTAAGTGGAGGCGTGCATATATGTGATATTTTTTAAAAAATATCAATTCTACTGTGGTGGGGATAACTTTGCTGCCAGTGCCACAGTGACAGTGACAGCTGCAGCACACTCCTTGGAGTCTGGATCTACTGTCTCCTTGGCAGCTTCTCCCTAGACCGCCTCTACAGCAGCCTCCTGGTGAACCCTTGTTCTAAACCTAGTTCCCGATGTAGCTCTTTAGTCCCCCCTTGTTCCTGAGGTAGATCTTCACTCCATTTTGTGGTTCACCTCAGGTGCCAAAATGAGCCTTCCAGCTACCCTTTCCATCATGCATCTGTATCCCTGCTGATTCTGAGAGGTCTACCAGGATAGTGGGTCTGCCTTAACAGCTGACCAAGAGTTGTTATATTATCTGCCTGGATTGCCCTTATGACAACGTTCAGGTTTATGTTTTTCCTTTCCAGATGACAGTAATGTGCTAGCATTGGGGAAACATCAGGACACAAACTAAAGCAGAATAAATCCACCACTGATGCACTGTATTTGTCAGAAACCTTTGACAGAATATACCAATCTGGAGCCGCTCTTAAGGCATTCTGGGATACATGGTTTATTCACATATAGATTCGGCATAGATTCATGGCATGCTTAACATACCCTGACTGCCACCAGATTTTGGAGTGAGGGAGAAGGTTTGCACCCCAGTGATGTTTCAAGAGCTGCGTTTTACACTCTGACCTGCAGCCCGACTCTTGTCTAAACCCTCTCCCTGATGTAGCTTCTCAATATGTTATCTTTGCTCACACAGACTCAGTCAGCACATTTCAGAGCTCAGAGGAGTGAGGGATAAAGCTTAGGCTTCTTTCCAAAATGCTCTCCTCTTCCGAAAGAGCTAGAGGCAGCAACCTTAGTAATGTGGAAAAGTATTTTGCCACTTTGCCAGGCCACCAAAGTAATCCTGGTTCTCTTAGCACTCTCCTGTTCAAACCATCAAGTGTCACGAGGCTGAAAAACACCCTAAGAGCACATCTAGCCCAGCCGCTAATCCCACTGCAATCACTTTATGGATATCCAGCCATGAAGTATGTTGCGCATTAAGTAGGAAAAGGACACCAAATTGCCTTTTTAAAGTGTGGCACATTTAATGGATAGATCCTAGGGAGCAAATGTTTCTCTCCTTTTCTTTAAAAGACAAAGAAAAGGGGGCACAACAGTTAGATGTTCACGAGACAAGGAAGTGGGTTTTAAAGCAGCCAAACCACTGCGATGTGGCTTGTATCAGCCAGAATGTGCACTTATGGGCTGCAGCCACCTGACAACATCGTGAGCAAAGCCACAGCAGCGGGTCGTGTGAGAGAGATGGAAAAGAGCTGCAGTATTGAGCAATGCTTTGAGAAGCAAAAAATATTTTTATGTAGCTGATGGGAACTTTGCAGTGGCAACTATTTTATCATGCTCAGTCCTCCTCATTATGTTGCTGCAAGGGTCTAATGCAGGCATCCTGCTTTCATTTCAAGGAAATTATATTTCCCCAGTATATTTTGCTGGGAGGACCATGTTCCTACAACCATAGGAGCTGACTACTAGGGGCCGCATCCCTTCAGCCCCCAATAAAATATTTAATGGGGCTGCCCGTCCCCAAGTTGGTGGCCATTGCCTTTCAAATGGTTGTGTGTGCTGCGTCTTGTGATTGATTATGCAGAGCAGGGCTTCAACCCCCCCTCAATATTTTATTCAAGTGCACAGGGGCCAACAAAGGCATTGTGACACAAAGGCAGGGCATTGCTACGTAGGGTGCATGTGCGACGTCCCTACGTATGATGCATACGCCATACATAGCAATGCCGCACATGCGCTGTACATAGCGGTTTACTTCAGCACCGTACGGACAGTACCAGGATCCTCTGCTCACGGCTGCAGCCACAAACGGAGGACCCTCCACATGCGACTGCGGCGGCGCAATGGCTGCTCGCGCTGCCACGGCGGGGCGAGCCCCCGTGTTGTGCCTTCTTGTCACCCCCCCAGACATGGCACTGGGGGCACACCTCCCCCCGCCGCCCCCATTGCGACGACACTGCAAGTGCAACTACTTTGGTTAGTTACACCTACAGTGGTACCTCGGGTTAAGTACTTAATTCGTTCTGGAGGTCTGTTCTTAACCTGAAACTGTTCTTAACCTGAGGTACCACTTTAGCTAATGGGGCCTCCCGCTGCTGCCGCACGATTTCTGTTCTCATCCTGAGGTAAAGTTCTTAACCCGAGGTAATATTTCTGGGTTAGCGGAGTCTGTAACCTGAAGTGTATGTAACCTGAAGCGTATGTAACCCGAGCTACCACTGTATTGGCTTTTGCCTATGGTATTTTTAAAGGTGAATAAAAAATCAGGTGACTAGCAGTCAAAAAGCCTTCAGTATTTCCTGCCACCTGGTGAAATGTGTAGTTCTGTTTCTCAGCTGTGAATTCCCCTTCTCTAGTGTTGGCGTGTGCATATTTCCCAGTGGTTTTTTTGGTCACATCAGGTGTGAACAGTCCATGTGAACAGCAAGGCCAACCAACCTTGTAAAGCTTGTAGTGCTAAAATTTATAAGATCACTGTTTCTGCAGCTTTACTTAACCTTCATTAGAGCTAAGGTGGTTGTGATCTGGAAAAGATAGAAAGTTTTGAATCAGCTGCTGTACCCTTGGCCCAGAAGCAGTATCTTGACTTGGGATGATTGATCTCTGGGTTTGTTTGATTATTATTTTTTTTGCAAGAATCAAGATTTAGGATTTTGCAAACCTTAGCAACAAATTGAGAAGAGGAACATAATCCTTCTGCTTTCTGTTCGTTCCTTTG